TTTTTCTTGATATCTCCCCCTCTATACTTATATCACTGTCAAATGCTTAGCTTGGGTTGCCTGTGGAAATACAAAGTCTCTATATGACGTCGCGCATCACGTGACCGTGTGAAAATATAGTAACAATGACATTATTGTATTGTTGTTAGATTCWAAATATTAGTAAGATGGAAGGGCCTCGAGGCCCTCAAGGACCACAGGGACCCCCTGGCGTGCAGGGACAACAAGGGTTACGAGGGCCCCCTGGGTTTAATGGAACCAGTACAAATTCTCCTGGAATGGCAAGTAGAGCAGCAAACTTCAGCTTGTGTCAGTACAAAAGCAAAAAATCTGATTTCTCTACCGGAGGATTGGGATTATCAGGAAAAACCGATGCTTCCAAAGTAGAATCAATGGTACGTCAACGTATTCTCTCWTCTTACTATATTAGTATAGGAAATCACATGACTTTGAGTGCAATCTGGAATTCATAATCACGAGTAATATTTTGAAAGTTCTTCGTAATTGCACGAGCCCGAGGGCGAGTGCCATTTGAGAGCTTTCAAAACATTTTACCAGCGATTTGACGGTTGACGGTTTTATACCCCATCGAGACCTTCTATTAAGGAACTCTCTTGTTTTGATTTACAATTTAGTAAATTTTTATCTTTTGTTTTTTTTATCAGGACCAGAGAATAGTCGGCGCCGTGTGTTCTGGCAACGATCTGACTAAAGAATACCATTTCAAAAGATCTGTAGTATCTGGAAAAAACAAATATATATGCTCCTGTATAGGTGTATCTGACAAAACTGGTACTATGAGTTGCATTCTTAACTACTGGGAATGTCCTATTGTGACGTAATACCGGAATTTTAGTGATGACCTCGTCGCCACCGCTTCAATGGCTTTTCTGAAATAGCAGTTTGCATTGCATTGTGGTCTAGATTCAGTACAAACATCTTTTGTTCATGCTGCCAAATATGGTGTTGTTTGTACTGAAGCTATACCACAATGCACTATGATTTCGTATCTCAGAAAAGTTCTATGACTAAGTTGTTTTCATTACAACCCGTGAAACGTTTAGATTTCTACACTTTATTCCTATTTATTTTTATTTTATTGTTTTTATTTGTCCTTTAACTTAATCGCATTTTGACTATTTTGCACGTTGTTTCACGTTTCAATGAAAAACTACTTTATTAAATAACACTTTAAAATAAATATCTGGACATAAGGGCTGTCAACTCTCGGATCCTCAAGATTTTGGTCAGTATTTCACGATCTCAAGACGTAAAATGTCACAGCTTTTTAACAAAATGGCAAAACTCCCCTGTTATCCTTCACGAGTTTGTAAGGTATCTTGTGATTGGAGGTATAAAACAATGCTTATTGTTTCCTCGTTCTTTAAACCTATTGTTTTCTTATATTTAACAAATAGCGAGTAAACCAATCGGATAAGATCAGTGAAGGTCTACCCAAA